CGCGGTGTGCTTGGCGCGTCAGGATGTAATCGAGGCACCTACGTTCACGTCCCGACGGGCCGTTGAACGTATGCCATATCCCGCCCCTCCGTGTGTCGAAGAAGGTGTTGAGGACCGCTAATCTGTTGTCCGTGGCGAAAGTCAGCAGCAGCTCACCATTTTCGTTCAGCTCATTGCGCCCGTACTCGCCCATGGTTCCTTCGTTTTCCCCTGCTATCCCTCCACTGTAAACTGTAAACTGTAATGTAAAACAAAGGCTGCACGTTTGACAGATAGCTACCTCACCTATTTCAGCCGGAACATGACGCTCCCAGCCCTGCTGCGCCCTATGAAGCCGGCCGTGGGAGGCGAGGTCTTGAGTTGTTGCGCCGCAAGAAATCGAGCGGTTTCAGCAGGGGATCGCTTCCCCCCCGAGGCGTCATGTCACACTTATTATTTATTTTATCAGACGTGCAGCGTGCAGCACTGAGTAAAAAAAAAACAAAAAAGGCCGCCCGGGTAATAAAAAGGGGCCATTTATTTAAACAGGGGCATCTCCAACGAATTCACGGAGCCCCTTGTTTTTTTTTTTTTGAATTGCTCGGCGCAACGGGAGTTCTCGTTTGAGCACCACAGCGTCGCACGCCAAGCATTCCACCCTGAGATACAGTCGAGGGAGCCAACACAGCTCCCGCTGCTAGCCACCTTCGTCGTTTCGTTGGGATTCTTGCTAAGCATGACCCGGCGCAAGGTGGACGAGGAGCAGGTTCGGAAGGCCTGTGCAGCGATAGATGATGGCATGTCGGTTGGGAAGGCTGCTGTGAGGTCTTTGGGGTAGGTCGTACGTCCATCGAAGGCCGCCGCCGTGGCAAGGTGGCCATGAACGAGAAGTTTGTTCCCGAGACCATCCTGAGAAATGAAAAGGAGGATTCGCTGGAAGATATTCTGCTGTTTGCTGCTCGCAACTTGTTGGCTGTGGATCGGGTTCACCTCAGAGATGCGGTGCGACGACTCTGCAACCACGGTCGGCGGATCCGTTGGGATCCAGAGAAGGGTCCGGGGAAAGATTGACTTGCGGGCTTCCTTCGTAGGCACCCACGGGTGGCGGAGCGCTCGACCCGCATCTACGAGGCAAACAGGATCACCGAAGACGAGGAGGCTCGCATGGTGCAGTTCTACGAGAGATGGGCAGCTCTCCTCGACGAGGTCAAACCGGAGGCCAACCACGTGCACAACACGGACGAGACCGGAGAAGATTCGCTCGTAGACTATTCTAGTGTAGACTACAGCCGTAGTAGACGCAGCAGCAGAAACTGCGCGGGTGACTGCTGTGCAAAGACCACGAAACATATCACACGAAAAATATCAGGCAGAGTTCTGCTGTAGTGTAGTCAGACTACAGAGGCCGTGCTCCCGCATTCCTGCTAAAAAATGCCGAAACTGCCGCTGGCTCTGGTCTAAAGTAGGCTACAGCAGCAGTAGTTCCAGACACAAAAGTAGAGTGCAATACTGGTTCTAGACAAGGTACTGCTGTAGACTAAGGAAGTCTAGAATTCAATATTTTTATAGCTGCGTCGCATCGTCTTCAGCTGGTAGTTCGAGGGAACCTGCGGCGACGAACGTGTAACTTAGTCTAGGGGGGCGATGTTAAGTAGATGCATGTATGTGTTAACACATGAAAAACACTAGACTAGACGAGTCTACAGCAGTAGAATTTAGACTAAGCACACAGCACTCTGCTTTTGCTCTCCCGGTTGTCTCGTCCAGCTACCGCCAAAATGACGCTAGACTGCGTGGGTTGAAAGCTCTCGCCTCACGAAAATATGTGAAAAAGAGCCACCGCGTGTCCCCCCCCCCC